GATAAAATAGATAGTTTAATTTTAATTTATTATTATTATTATTATTATTATTATTATTATTATTATTTGAAAGTAAGATAGTTTAAAATTTGAAAAAAAAATTATATGCTGAACTAAAAAAATATTAATGTAATATAATTTTTTTTACTCTTTTTTCAAAAATATTGTGCCCTTTAACTTAACATAATAACAAAAATTTTAAATTTTAAATTAGTAAAACATTTTAAATATATAACTATGCATATATATATACACCTATAATAAAAAGATTTTTGGTGCCCCTACAATGCTGATATCCTGTTTGGTTGCTCAACTCGCGCACCCTTAGGAGCTGCTTACAATTGACCAGTACAAGAAATTTGGTCCGATAAATCTTCATGACAATTAAGAAATGCACATATAAGTTTGATATTCATTAAAGCAAAAAATTGGTCATTTTCTTCTCGGAATAGAATCTTCAATTCGAAAAATACAGATTCAACTTGGGAAAAAGGGTAGGAGGCGTAGGGAAGTACTGAAATACAAATGAAGAAAAGAAAAACCTACCAAATTTCCTTGACAACCAGGGATCAGAAGGAAAAAAAATTCAGATTATAGCACACTGTAATGGTAGAAATGGAAATCGGAGTAAGAATATGAATTGGACGAATGTCGAGTTATGGAGGAGGAGGATTTTGATGGATTGACGATTTTATGGTTTCAATCTGTCTACCTCACATAGATTAGGTTCCCAAAGCAATATGGACAACCTATATTTAATTTTTTTCTTTTTTTGTTACCTCTTTCTCTTACTCAACTAATGTAAGACAAGTCATTTTTGTATTCTTTTAGTGCAGACATGAATTCGTTCCTATCCCATTTGAAATAGACTTTTTCCATTTATGTTTCTTCCTTTCACTTGCATTCTCCCGATCAATAAACGTGATATATAAGCTCCCGGGGCACATCCCAACTGGCAAAGGATGGGGCTCTTAATTGCTGACAGTTCAGAGTTCACGAGTTCAATTCATGGGACTCTTGGAATGCAGGCTTTCTCCTGGAAGACAGGAGTTCCCCTGTAAGGCAAGGTGCAACATGTGTTGGCTCGCTCGACACTTTGACATATCAGTGGAGGGGGCTCTTGGACCCTGATCAGTTTGGAGCACATCCCGTGATTTACCTAGTCTATATCTTGAGGGGTCAAGACGTAGATCCCAGGATTAGTACTCGAATGTGGATACCTGGGTATAATAATAATAATAATAATAATAATAATAATAATAATAAACGCGATATATAAATAAAATAAATAAAAGTTAATTTATTCGTTCACATCCTACTATACTTCAAACACAACATAACTTACTTTAATATGAGCACATATTAGTGTTTGCTCGACTAAGCTTTTAAGTACTTCTAAAAGTGGGTTCCAAGGAATATTTAATTTAAAAATATATGAAAGTTGATGATCATACAGAATGTGTATATAAAAATAAAACTTGACCATTTTATTGCAAAACCTGCACTTAATTCGAGTTTACTTGAAACCTTGATTCCATAGTATTGTAGCAATATAGTGTTATTTGGATAAAGAATTAAGTTACTCTACCAGGCCTATAAAATGACTTGTAGAGTAGTTGTCTCGGGACCCACCCCCACCCCCACCCCCCTCAAGATACATTTGCTTTGCTAGGTCCTATAAAAGGACTAGTAGAGTAGTTGTCTCGGGACCCACCCCCACCCCCACCCCCCTCAAGATACATTTGCTTTGTTAGGTCTTTTACCGACCTGGCAAAGTAGCACAGTCCTGGGATAAATTCACCATAAGATGGCCCTTATATATATACCATGTTTGATCCACATTAATTTTTTCATTCTCAACCACACATTTTTCAATAAAATAATATTTTTATCACATCAATGACTTTTCTTTCTTTTTCAATCACATATTCCCCATCACATCAATGGTAAAAATACATTCTTTTTTAAAAAATGTGCACCAAATGGGGGCATATATATATATATACATATACATATATATCATCTTGGCGAAATATTTGATTTGAAATCTTGATTCCTTTGTAACGTGGGTTGCACAATGTTCTGCCACAGCATGGATAAATTATCATATCCTTTTGTCGTTTGGCATAGGGTTACGTTCCCATGTTCTATCTTTTTTGCCAAAGTCCCTCTTTCATGATCATTCTTTCAAAAAAAAAAATTATTATACTCATTTTTAACTACGCATTCTCACAATAAATTATTCTTCACGTAAATTCAAAAACAAATTCTACTTTTTAACTACACATTCTCCAAAAATTTACTATTCAAAAACTCATTCTATTAAAAAAAAAATTGACTGTCAAACACGAGCTTATCGCTTCCAATTCCACATGACAAATACGAGGTGCTCTTCCGCATTGTAATACAAACTAGTTTCAGAAAATATATTTATACAAATAGAAGAAAAGTAAGAGGGAAATAGTGTTTGTGGTATCCTCTTAAAAAATTAGTGCCCAACCTTGACGAGATGTTCCAACATACCTTATTTATAAAGAACTTTTCATGTATAATAGAGAATATTTTAAAATTTAGAAAGTAATTTTTTTATACATTCATAGGGTTACGTTCCCATGTTCTATCTTTTTTGCCAAAGTCCCTCTTTCATGATCATTCTTTCAAAAAAAAAAATTCTTATACTCATTTTTAACTACGCATTCTCACAATAAATTATTCTTCACGTAAATTCAAAAAAAAATTCTACTTTTTAACTACACATTCTCCAAAAATTTACTATTCAAAAACTCATTCTATTAAAAAAAAAAATGACTGTCAAACACGAGCTTATTGCTTCCAATTCCACATGACAAATACGAGGTGCTCTTCCGCATTGTAATACAAACTAGTTTCAGAAAATATATTTATACAAATAGAAGAAAAGTAAGAGGGAAATAGTGTTTGTGGTATCCTCTTAAAAAATTAGTGACCAACCTTGACGAGATGTTCCAACATACCTTATTTATAAAGAACTTTTCATGTATAATAGAGAATATTTTAAAATTTAGAAAGTAATTTTTTTATACATTTCAGCAATGCTTTCTTTTTTCTCTTCATTTTTTTTAAAAAAAAAATATTTGTTGATTTCTTCTCATCTTTTACTTAACCATATTTTTTATATGTCAATAGTCAATCAATTCAAATAAAACTTGAATAATTTAAAAGATAGACTATTGAAATATGTAAACCCACTCTCTATGTTAAAAAGTTAGAATAGAAAGTTCTTGAAACTTATTTTTAATCATTGACTGTCTAAAACAGAGAACATGTGTTTAGAGAGTCTCTTAAATATACTCTTAAAAATAACTCGTCAAGAGACTCCTTATTTTTTAAATACATCTTGATTATAATAAAAAAAATATTTAAATTTAAAGAGTAATTTTTTTTTATACACTAGCAAATTCTTATTTTACTTCTTCAAAAAATCATTCGTT